CAAAGTTTACAGAGCAGTTCAAAGGCTGGAAGACTTGCAAAAAGAGTTTAGAGGGATTATTTATGACTTAGCTAAGCATTGATTAATGGACAGTGTCTCTGGATCCATGTCTACAGGGAAAGAGGGAATGGGCAGCAGTGAAAGCATCAGTTATCTTCCCATAGGTCAAGCTGTTGACACATGACTGGGAGAAGTCTAAGCTGTTCTGTAGATTGAGGTACTGAACATGAGACCTTATTCTAGAGGCACAGTGTCAGAAGGGTTAAGGTAGGGAGAGGGATTTGGGAAGAAAAGGGGTTTGCAGAAGAGGATAAGGTGGGAGAAAGGGGAAAGGAGACAGTAAGAGTCAGAGAGAAGGGTCAAAGTTGGTAGAGGCTCTCCCTGGGCATCAAGGATAGGAGAAATCTCTTCAGCCATGCCTAGGAGGTGGTGGCACCTCAGAAGTGAGACCCCAGCACAGCTGGGATGTTCCCTGCTCTCCCTCCTCTGTGACTGCAGTGAGCCTTAAACACCTGCTCTGGGCAGCACCTGGATCTAAACTCCAATATCCTGCTGGAAAAGTGCCAGGTAAGGACCATCAGTGCTAGAGCCCCAGATAAAGGGTTTTACCAGTGCAGGTGGTCTCATGGTCAGTGCCATGAAGAGGAGACCTGAGGAAGCCCTGATGGGCAGCATTGCTCTGACTTGTGAGGAGCAGCCATGCAGCTGAGTGCAGAGAGAGCAGGGGCATTGTTAAAACCACTTCTTTGTGGGACATTCCTTTTTTTAAAGGCCATTCATTTAATGCTGGAACAAGAATGGGAAATGCCTTGTCTCGGGCTTCCTGTTGTCAGAGCAAAAAATGATCCAATATCCTCCTGCAGGGTCTGGCCTGGGCCCAGACCCCCAGAGCAGGAGTGGGGCCATGGGGCTGGGGCTGCTCCTCCTGCCCACGGGCACCGTGCCTCCTCCTCCAGCTCATATTTTATTTGTGATTCAGCCACTCAGAGGGATGCAGGGAGGAAGAGGCGGGTGCTGCCCTGGGTGGAAGTCCAAAGAGCATTGTTTTCTCATTATGAGCATTGTGTTGCTATCATGGATAATTATAATCTTGCATCTCATTTCATTTTTTTTATTTTTTTATTTTTTTGGAAAACCACACAAAAGCACCGAAGGCAGAAACTTCTTGGTGACAACCTAGGAGATGTCTGTTGTTCTTCCTGACTGTATTTTATCTTATGGGGATTTGAGGGTATTGCTGTGGCAATGCCAGATATTAAAACCTCATTATACTTCTGTTTGCAAAACAGATCTTAATCGCTCTCCATCCTGAACAATTACCCTGGCAGGCAAATTGTGGAAAAATTAACAGCCAAGAAGGATGAAAAATCTTTTCTTTTTTCTTTGTTGAAACAGCAAAATCTGCATGCAAATTCACTTAATCAGCCAAAACGCCCTGCTAATGCAGCCCTATTCCCAAGGAGGCACTTTTCCAATTTTCTAAAGTGGAGCTACTTGTGTTTCCTAAACCTTGTTCCAGCTATAGCTATAAAATAAAGTTCAATGTTTTTCTGCAACCTGTCCCAGCATATGGAGCCGTGCTGTGAAGCAGAGGGATGCACTCCATCCTTGCCCTCACTGCCTTTCCTGTGTGACTCCCAGGAGAGGTGGGAAGTGCAGAGCCCCACTGGCCCCGGGGGTCAGCACTGCAGGTCAGCACAGGCACTCAGGATCAGCAGGGCAGAGCTGGTGATTTCTGCTATCTCCAACAGGAAAAAAGCTCATGCACTTTTACTGAGCCTCCTGAGTCATTCCCACTTCCAAAAATGATGTGGTAGGAGTGCCATGGATTTACTGGGAAATAAGTAGGGAAGTCTAATAGGACTGTCTTGGTTTCATGGGGATTCCAGTCCTGGAATTCCTGTCCTCGTGTCTGACTGAGTTCTCTGTGGTCTCTGTTACCCCTTGAGGTCTCAGTTACATCAGCCACAGGTCTCCTAATTGTCAGTTCAGGCTGTGCTTAAAGCAAAACCACTCTCATGAGGTTCAGAGGGTATTGCTTTAATGGCAGCCATTTCACTAAGTGATGAATTTTATTTGAATGCTTACTTGCCTCGGAGAAGATTAATCTCTTTTGCAGTTTCCTCCCCTGTAGAGAGTAGCCATTCCTCCACTCTGGAGATCTGATTTCTAAAAAGCTTGAAGTGAACAATGTGAGTGCTGCTGCTCCGGGCTCGGGCACCAGACAATTGCTGAGATGAGAGCAGAGTCCCCTCCAGGTGACCTCAGCCGTGGGTGAGCTGCAGCACAGGCTGCCCTGAGCCCTGCTCAGCCTGGCCCTGCTCACAGCCCCTCCTGGGCTCAGGCAGAGCTGCTGCCCCCCAGCAGCACCCTGGGGTGCCCTGCACCCACCCCAGGGGAGGGCACAATGTGCACCCACTCTCCCTGGGCCCATCCAGCAGGATTCTGCAATAAATTACACACACCTGATAAAGCTTCTGGAATACCTGAAAACGAAGAGTACAGGGCTCCGTGTAGGTCTGTGGGAGAGATGAGGGGCGAGTACAGCACTTGGGTGGCTTTGGTTTAGCCACATATGGAGTCTGATGACGGGATGACAGAGATGGGTGATTTAACTCCTCTGGAAACCTCTTCTCACCTTGCCAAGGCTGCACTTCAGCACGGCACTGGTTAGGGGATTTCTGAGATCACTGCTCTCCTTTAGGGGCTGTAACTATTGAAAAATATCAAAAGATTAATGGAGATTACGAATTGTGTAACTTGATGTTTCATGTCTCAGCTCCCGCTGGCCAATATTCATGTATTTATTTATTTCCTGAAAGTTTAGTACCTGGATGGGAAACTGAAGGCAGGTGTGAGTGTTCCAAGCACAGAGCCAGGACCTCTGTGGCTGCTGAAGGCTCCAGGAGGAGCCCAGGGCACAGGGAACTGGGAGCAGGGAGCTGGATACTGGGAGCTGGATGCTGGGAGCTGGATGCTGGGCTCTGGGAGTGGGATGCTGGGCTCTGGGAGCGGGATGCTGGGCTCTGGGAGCTCTGGGAGTGGGATGCTGGGCTCTGGGAGCTCTGGGAACGGGATGCTGGGCTCTGGGAGCTCTGGGAGCGGGATGCTGGGCTCTGGGAGCTCTGGGAACGGGATGCTGGGCTCTGGAAGCTCTGGGAGTGGGATGCTGGGCTCTGGGAGCGGGATGCTGGGCTCTGGGAGTGGGATGCTGGGCTCTGGGAGCTCTGGGAGTGGGATGCTGGGCTCTGGGAGCGGGATGCTGGGCTCTGGGAGCAGGATGCTGGGTTCTGGGAGCTCTGGGAGCTGGATGCTGGGCTCTGGGAGCAGGATGCTGGGTTCTGGGAGCTCTGGGAGCTGGATGCTGGGCTCTGGGAGCTCTGGGAGCGGGATGCTGGGCTCTGGGAGCTCTGGGAGCGGGATGCTGGGCTCTGGGAGTGGGATGCTGGGCTCTGGGAGCTCTGGGAGTGGGATGCTGGGCTCTGGGAGCGGGATGCTGGGCTCTGGGAGCTGTGGGAGCGGGATGCTGGGCTCTGAAAGCTCTGGGAGTGGGATGCTGGGCTCTGGGGCAGGGAGCTGGGCGCAGATAACTCCCCGCCCCGCTTTGAGCTCCGGGCGCTGCTCAGGGCGCCTATTTAATGCTAATTTGAGCTGATGGCCGTGATTTGCAAAGCACTCAGCGTCATTGTGCGCACCTTTTCAGTGTTCTCCCTTGGCTCAAGCCGCAGGCTGCGGTGTGCATTGGCTCCCGGCTAATCCCGCAGGCATTGCTCGGGAGGCTGGACCAGGAGCAGGAGCCGAGCCGAGCCGGGCCAGCCCATCCATCCTCTTCCCCGCTTTCCCTGCACCCCGACTGCCTCCTCGCCACAGCCGAGATTCTGTTCCCCTTAACAGGTGCTACACAGAGGTTTCATGTGAAATATCAGCACGAAGGTCCCTGAAAATTATTTCTTCCCAGCAAGCAACACATCCACTGGCTATCACGGGAACGTCTGCTCTTGAAGTATTTACAGTAACATTGCTCATTCAGGATCTGGTTTGGTTTTCTTGTTTCATTAGAAAGACACAGCTGTAAAGCTGCACAATGAAAAAAAAAAAGCCTGTCCTGGCCCTGTGCCCTCCCCAGACCCCCAGCCAAACCCCTTCTGTTCTGCAGAGGTGTTTCCAAGGTGAGAGGAGTGATGCAGGAAGGGACCTCCTCAGACCTGCTGAATGCATCTTCAGTCTGCGGATCCCTCTGATGTTAGACAGACCCGAGCTCACAGAGGGGCGTCTCTGCTCCCACTTCTGGAGAAAAGGAAATTTCATTGTTTTGCCCACAGGCGATGGCACTGACACAAACATTTAGTGTGCACAATGACAAATACTCTGTATCTGAGCACATGCATACTTCAAGAGTCACCAAGAGGGATTTAAGCACACCTGAGCGCTCAGCAGGAACGGGAAGGACAGAAGATTTGTGCTCAAAACTTTGCAGCCTTGCCTTAAGAATTTCTGGCAGTTAAGAGTCAGCCCGCAAGGAGCTCCTGCCAGGCCAGGTATTGTACGCGAGTCCCCCTTGCTGCAGGAGATTTTTAGCCAAAAAAAAACCCCATGTCTCTTTATATCAAGCGAGTGGATGCTGCCAGTCCGAGCAGAAGGATGAGGCACAGAGACACAATCTCAGGAGCGAGTGAGCCATGATCCATCTCGGTGGAAGCTAAAACCGATGCAGAGCTAAAGCTCTGTGAAAGCTGCAAGATTTGGGGCTGAAAAGGTAAATTTTGTGTGGGAAGGGCGCCGGGGAGAGGGCAGCTGCTGGCCCAACCCCCAGCCAGGATGGATGAGAGATGCCTGCTTAACAGCCCACATTCCTGGGCTCTGCCAGCTTCCCCTAATCTCCCGGTTTTAACAACCACCTATTTGTCCCTAAAGTGGGGCTGCAGGGGAAGGAAAAGTCCTTTCAAGTACACAGGTTCCTGCGGCGTTGCTAATTCTCAATTATTATATGAGGCATTTCGCAATATTTTGTTTAATTGATTGAATTTTTTTTTCCTCGTAACCTGCGTCTTGCTCTTTCAGAGGCAGGCAAGGTGATTTGGGAAGCTTTGTACTTTTAGAGGCAGTGCCCGACAGAACTGCTCCTAATCATGGCCTGAGCTCGGGATCAGCCCCATTAGTCCGAAGAACAACTTCCCAAAAATCCGGGAATCTGAGGGATGAGGTGGGCAGACACAGCACGGTGTCCGACAGGGACAAGAGGGAGAAGAGCTGCTGCTTCCTTGCCCTGCAGGAGGGTGGGTGGAGGATGGAGAGGACGGCCGGGCGAGGATGGGGAGCCAGCCCGGGCTGGGCAGGCGGCCCAGCGGCTCCTCCCGAGCAAAACGCGTCCCTCCAGAAAGGACAGCAGCCCGCTTGTTTGGTCATGTCCCGAGTGAGCGTGGCGGCAGGAGTGAAATCTTCCTTACATCCAGAGGAAGGACAAACTTTTTTTGCACCATCCCATAGAAAAGGCGCTGCCAGCGCATCTTCCAGCGTGAGGAGCCGAAGGTGCCGCAGCACCGCCTGGAAGGAGAGAAGGGACGCAGCAGTTTGAAATAAGATGCAGAACAAGTGCGGGTCAGGAGCTGTGCTCCAGCTCTGCTGCCAGCTGCACATCGGGGAACGAGGGAGGGACTGCTGCTGGTGCCTGCGGGGCCCTGAGGGACTCTGCCTCTGCCTCCTGCCGCGGGAGCACCAACTGATTGATTAAAATAATATGGATATTGATCTAGTACCGATATCCAGCTGTGACGGACAAAAACTCTCGAACAGTTTAAAGTTAGAAAGTGTATGTTTATTCGACGCCGGGCAGCGTGCGGGATCGCTCCCAAATACACACCGCACCTTCCAGGTGATTACAGAGCCCTTTTATCCATCCAAGTATTGAATACCCAAAATATAAACACATATTCATAATTTTGGTACATCCCATTCCCTGCTTCGTATGCTAATCACTCCAAAAGCCATTCAGCATGCGTGGTTTGTTCCTTGAAATGGGTCGGTGTCCCTTTCATGGGGAGGGGTCCCAAAATGAGGAAGTAAATTAAGTCTTCCTCGTTCTGACCTTTCTACCTTTTCAATGCAAATATGAGGAATAAACTCTTGGTAGAACTCCCATTCCTTGTCTTCAACTGGTTTCAGAACAGAGGAAACCCACAATTGTTTTATGTTCCTAAAAGCTATTCGTCATTTTCTATATTCTTCATTATATACCCAGCTAACTAAACATTGTGCTGACAAGCAATTAGTTATTAGTTAACTACTAACTTTTAACTTCATCAAGGCCTGCTCATTTATTTTAATTAACTCTAGTAAGGCTTATCTCTAACTAAAATCTCTAAATTCCTTAAAATGTACGTTTCACAAGGATGCCAATGGAGTGCTGAGGTGCAGCCCATCCGTTCTGTGCCCACACAAAGCCGCTGACCTTCCCTCGTTAACACCTAAGAGGGTTGGATGGCCCTGCAAGGAACCTGGAGCGGTGATTGATACTCCGGGATTTCTCTCTGTAGTAGCTCTAAGTCACTCCTTACACAACTCGTTATTTTAACTCCAAAAGGCTTTTGTTTCCTGGAAACAAACACTCTTAAACAGGTTCCCGAAGTTAGAGCTGCGTTAGGTTAGTGTTTAATAATCTTTGAGGGTAAATTGAATTCCCTCTCTTAAAGCAGCAGGGAGACTTTAATCTGATGGTTTCTATCAAAGGAAAAGGTTCCCTGTGAAATTTTGCCGATGCGTTCAGTGGATTGCGAGAGTCACATTTATGGTTAGTTATTCATGTTTTCACTTTGAAGTGTAGGGTGATGCTGTGGTAAACCCCGCAGCGCTGGGAGGCGTTTATTTTGAAGGAGAAGTTATTTGTTGGAATTTCTAAATATATTCGGGGTAGATCTTAAAATAATTAACCCACCCTGGAAGGTCAGTAGGTGGAAGCCTGTGGGGAAGCGTGGCCACCCTTCTCCTGCCCTGGAGGTGGGCGTTAAGCTGAAGAAAGGAGGAAATGTCGCTTAGCCTGAAGTTACATGAGATAATTTGGAAGTCACCAGAGAAACACTCTTCTCACAGGCAGCGTGTGGCTTCGGGGACACGAGCTCCCTGCAGACACCCCTGGGAGCTGGGGAAGCGCTGGGCAGCGGCTGTGAGCCGGGCTGGGGACACGGGCAGGGGACAGCAGGGACAGACAGGAGCTGGCAGCAGCGGGAAGGGGACAACAGGGGCGGCAGGGGACAGCAGCGATGGGCAGGGGACAGCAGCGACAGACAGACCTGGCAGCAGCGGGAAGGGGACAACAGGGGCGGCAGGGGACAGCAGCGATGGGCAGGGACAGCAGCGATGGGCAGGGGACAGCAGGGGACAGCAGCGGGCTGCAGGGGACAACCGGGACAGCAGGGCACAGCAGTGACGGGCGGGGGACAGCAGGGGACAGCGGCGGGCGGCAGGGGACAGCAGAGGACAGCCAGTCCGCTGTCACTCACCTTCCCAGGCCTCTCTCCGTGGGTCGCTGTGCAGCCGCTGGCACTCCCAGCCTTTCCTTCCCTCCGCGCCCCGGCACAGCTCAGCTCACGCGTGCTTTTACCCACCCAGAAATCCTCCTTGAGCGCTGGAAATCAACCGGCAGTTCCTAAACTGATAATAACTTATTGCCGTTCCCCCGGAGCGCCGCGGGGCCCGGAGGGAGCAGCAGCACCGCGGCTGAGACTTGGGCAACCCAACAAGGCGCAACTGAGCGATTGCCATGCCCGCTTTGGTGTCACCTCCCCGGGAGCCGAGAGCGTCCCCGCGCCGCGCTGGCAGCCCGGGACAGGGTGCCCGGGACAGGATGCCCGGGGCAGGGGTACCCAGGGGCAGGGTGCCCGAGGCAGGGGTACCCGCGGACAGGGTGCCCGGGGCAGGGGTACCCAGGACAGGGTGCCCGAGGCAGGGGTACCCAGGGCAGGGTGCCCGGGGCGGCGGTGCCCGGGGCAGGGTGCCCGAGGCGGCGGTGCCCGGGACAGGGTGCCCGAGGCAGGGGTACCCAGGACAGGGTGCCCGAGGCAGGGGTACCCGCGGACAGGGTGCCCGGGGCAGGGGTACCCAGGACAGGGTGCCCGAGGCAGGGGTACCCGCGGACAGGGTGCCCGGGGCAGGGGTACCCAGGACAGGGTGCCCGAGGCAGGGGTACCCAGGGCAGGGTGCCCGGGGCGGCGGTGCCCGGGGCAGGGTGCCCGAGGCGGCGGTGCCCGGGACAGGGTGCCCGAGGCAGGGGTACCCAGGGACAGGGTGCCCGGGACAGGGGTACCCAGGGCAGGGTGCCCGGGGCAGGGGTACCCAGGGACAGGGTGCCCGAGGCAGGGGTACCCGGGACAGGGTGCCGCTGTGCCCACCCCAGGGGCGCTCCCGGATGACGGAGCGCTGGCCGGGCTGGCAGCAGTGTCCTGCCCGTGGCCGGGCTGAGGGGACATTGCCCGAGGAGCCTCCGCCGCCCCAGCCCGGGCTGGCACCGCAGCACTCCCCGATTGTTCGATGGGTCGGGTAATATTCGAGCACCGTGTGTCACATCAGCCCTGCCCTCCAGGAGACTTTATTTATAGCCAGCGACACGGAGACAGAGACAGACTGCGCCTTCCACCGGGAGTGGCTGCTCCTCCTTAGACCCTTGGACCCAATTTCCTCCAGGATGTGTCCTCTTAAAGGGTTGCCACAGATTTATGGATTGCATCCAGATAGAAGGCAACAAGCACTATACAACCAAATTATCAAATGAATCAAGCCAGTTGTTATTTGAAAGAAAAAATGCTTCTCACAGAGCTCATAATTTATTAAAATCTGAAATCAAGAGCTGAATATTTATAGTTTACTTTTGTTGCTCTTTCTGGAGCTCTCTAGACAGATATTTTGTTCAGCTGGCCTAAAAAATTAGATCTGCGCTCAGAATGAAGAAACCTGAAGTGCTCTCACAGATTTCTTTCCTTCTGGAAGATATTGAGAGTTTTGCCAATGATTTTTCCATTTAAGAAGGCTTCTGGCCTTTAGTGACTTTGGGCACTGTTTTTGACAACATTGTCCAAAGCACAGCTAACAATGTCATGCCATAGCTGTTTTAAATTGCAGTGGTAGAAAGAATAATTATTTCTAGATTATCGCCTAAATTGGCATCTGCCTAAGAAATGGGCTTATTTGTCTAAAAATCTCTTTCAGGAGTTTTATTCCCAAATCACAAAGAGTAATTCAACACCCACTATAGAAACAGATCACCTACGATTATAAGCACATCTGGGTTTATTACTAAAGGCTGCTTATTCAAATTATGCTTACAAGTAGTTCCTTGAGGAAATGAACTGAAACTAAATCCAGGTAAGATAGCTATAGCAATCCAAACTTCTTGTCATTGTGCTACCTTAAAGCTTAAACACAAGCAAATCCCCTCCAAAGTCAGCTTGTGTCCAAGGGTGGGCAGCAGCTTTATTCCTTCCATCCCAGTGAAATCTCTACTGAGGAATGAAGCAGATTACATTGAATCCATGGACTTTATACCCACATTGAAATTAATGGACATGTACCTTTACATGAACAAAATGAACCACATGCTTGTTCTTAACCCTGAGTTGAGGGCTTTGCATACATGGGGTGAGACACACACAGCCCTGGCTCTGCAGAGGAACAGCACAATTCAAAAGGTGAGGAGGAAGCTTTAATAAAACTGGTATGGTATGGGGCAAAAGGCCAAATCAGTAGGAATTAATCTCCTCAGCACAGGCTGGTCCTTGGAGCTGGTTCTACAGATGTTCTTTAACAGTAAATATTTTATGTCTTTTGGTGCCTGTCAAAGCCTCCTAACACAGCTGGGAAGTTTAAACTAGAACTCTCTGTAAAGGCACCTGCTCAGGAGAAAAAACAGTGGCAAAAGTGGCAGATGAACCAGTCCCTCTCTGCACTGCTGCAGTTCGGGAATTCTAGAGCAAACATTGGAAAAAAGCTGTTCTATTTACAGAGACAGAAGGCCAAAGCCCTGGCTGGAGCCCTGTCTGGTGTCCTCAGGGGCAGAACATCAGGGAGGACATCAGCCCTGAAGGCAGAGGTGGCAGAGGGAGAGGCAAGCAGCAGGATCCTGGCTCTTGTGTGAGATCCAGTGCCCAGTTTCCTCACTGCTGGACAATTTGTTTGGCAGGGTTTAGTACTATGTGACAGCTAAGAGTCATCCACAGGCTGACCTTCCAGCTGGACATGTGGGGAGTACAGGCTACAGAGAGAGGCCTGACAAAATACATGCAAGGACTGCACTCCTTCTCTGGGACACAGATACCTCCAGTGGCAAGCTCTGCATCCTGATGGAGACACACTCAAAATATGGTATTTTCTCTCTGCTGTTGAGATTGTTGCTGACTTGGACAAATTTTTCTCTGCTTAAATAACATCTTCAAATCAGAAGACAGCACTAGGAAAATCTGCTTAGCACTCAGCAGCAAACTTCTACCCCCGAGTTTTACACAAGGAAGCACGAACTGCCCAGAAATGCAGAGGATCCACACTTATGCTCCAGGGTAACTGGATTTTCCTCCCAGCACTAAAATGCTCATTTGCCCGTAGGTTATTCAGCAGGGAGGCAGCCAGTGGCTCACCATGGGCTCCCTGCAGCCTCTGCAATTATACACCAGAGCAGTGCTGTGCAATTACACAGCCTCTGCCATTCAAATGCTGCAAATCATTTTGCAAGCACTCATTAAATAACTTGCACAACAACCTTGCTGATAAAGTACACATGCTAATCATGCCTAAGCATCACAGGCTGAGGCACAGAAGATTCAAGGACTTGCTCAGGGTCACACTTTGAGGATCAATAGAAGTCACTGGTGACTTCCCTCTCATTACCCAATGCCATTTCTTATATGCAACATCCTCCATTTGGATTTTAAATACAGATGACTGATGCCTTCTTTCTATTCCTGTTGGAAGGAATCCATATGTCAAATCTGAGTGCAAAAATACCATATTTTGATACAAACATATGCCATAAAAGGAGATCATGCTAGTAGAGCTTGCAAATTCATAGCTCTTTAAGTCCTGAAGCATCTCAAAGAGCTCTTCCTGAGTATTTATGTGATTTTCACTTTACCACCTCTCAAGTGGAACATAACATTCCCTTAATAGCACACAGCAATACCCACCATAGAAAGTGAAGAACCGCTTCCAAGGATAGGTCTGAAAATGAGGAAGGATTGAAACCCAGAAATAAGATACTGCTTCAACAAAAACCTTGATCTAGAATTCCAATTTATTTTCCCTGATTACCAGAAATTCTATTATGAAAATCTGATTTTCTGCATGTGACAGAGTAGAGGATCTCAGACACAAAGTTTCAGACTGGGGAGTGTCACGTGTGCTGAAGGGCAGGGTCTCCATACTCACACCTTGGTACCCCAGCATCCTTCAGCATCATCAGATTGCACTGACTCCTGGGTCAAACAGAAGGAAAAAAGGCTGCTTACAGTCTGGTTTGCTGAAAATGGTCCCATAGCATATAACTTCCCAACAGTTATGCTAGTTATGTTTTTATTTATAAAGGGGAAGATCAGCATTATTGTTATTGGGAATGGATGGAGCCATGGACTCAGGAGTTTATAAACCATTGCTGTGGGAGTGTGCACCAGGGAAGAGCTGCTCTGTGCTTGCCTCACTGCTGAAGATGGTTGCCAGATTCTTGCAGGCTTTGTAGTGGGAACTTGGGGAACTCCTAAGTCAGAAGCATCCAGACCACTGTGATGCTGGTAATGAATCCATTAATTTCTTTAATCCCTTTATTTTGTCTCTCCTGGATTCTGATGAGGCCCCTGGCAGTTTCCATCTCCCCTGACTGTGCAGGTGCAGCATTCCCAGTCCAAGGGGAGCTGTGGCTGCACAGGTCAGGGCAGCCCCACGGGCTGGGGTGTCCAGGAGCGGGTGCTGCTGGTGCCAGGCTCACTGCCCCAGCTGCTGTCCCCTGTGCACGCCAGGGAACCCCAGCCCTGCCTTTGTAGGGTGTGTAGGGGTGAAGGGTTTGGACATTGCGGTGATGGGAGGATCAGGTAAGGTGAGAGAGGACATCTGGAGGGAATGCCTGGAGATCCAACTGCTCTGCAGCTGCTGGCCTTGCTTGGAGCTCATATCATAGTTCTCAAATCTGTTTGAGAAAGAGAATATGAGTTCAAAGCTGGTTCAAATGCAGTGCAGAAACAACCCCTGCTGTCAGTGACAGTGAGGAGCCATTTCCATGTAAAACAAGGACACAGGGCAGAGGTGAGGCCCCACCACACCCAGGGCTGAGCCTTCTGTCAGCGCCTGAGGCAGGAACAGCCTCTCTGCCCCCCTTCCCTTCTCCCCCTCAGATGTCATTTCCCAGCACTTTTGCCTTCCTGGCCTTTCTGATGAGCAACATCTTCCACAGACAGGCTTTAGGGGTGGGAGGCACCACCTACCACAGAGATCTTCTCCCCTTTAGCTTCTCCTGCCATGGCTGCTCCTGCCACGCAAAGGAGCTCCCTGCTCCAGGATCGCAGTGCAGGAGGAGGAGGCACCACTGCTCCCTTCTCCTTCCCACACAGCCTTTGTGTAAATGGGGAGTTTCTGTTCTATTTTTTTTTTAATCTGGTGTCCTCCTGTGAATGCCACTGGGAACAGAAATTCAGGAAACCAAGTTTTAAATGTTTGGATGTTCAGATCCTGTTAATCAAGGCTGGAGTTTC